GGCTCTTGTGAACACGGTAATGAACCTTCGGGTTCCATAAAATGCTGGGAAATTCTTGAGTAGCTGCAGAATTGGAAGCTCCGCCAGAAAGGCTCAGCTCCATGAGTAAGTAAGTTAGTGTGCGTGTGTGCGTAGAGAGAGAGAGAGAGACTATGTATATATACGAGGCGGTTTACAATTGACCGACCTCGAAGTATCATTCGATAACGTGTACGACTTGAAAGGAATAAAAGAGAAAGCATGGGAGTTTAATGGTATGGAAACTTACATAACAAACGATGTGGCTTCTCCTTGAATTCTTAGGAGGCGTCATGTTAGTAAATATATATGAATAACTCCCAGCCCCGTGAAGTATACATTCCATCGTCCGTACTCCTAATCGAAATTACACAAATAAAATAGTATTTTTTTTTACTGCTAGTGGGGTGGAACTAAGTCCCTTGTACTGCGGCCACTTCTGGCCTATTGTACCAGCTCCAGATGTAAGGTGAGGGTGTTGTGCAGCAATTGGTGGAATGAAGATTGGCACGGGAAACCGAAGTACTCGGACAAAAACCTGCCCCAGCTCCACTTTGTCCACCACAAATCCCACTTGACCAGATCCGGGATCGAACCCGGGCCGCCGCGGTGGGAAGCGACTAACCGCTTGAGCTACGGCGCGGCCAATAAAGTAGTAAAATAGTAAACCCAAATTTTATTCAAACAATCCATAGCAATGCAGGGCGATCACATTCTTTGCTACTGTTATTTTCATCTTCGCAATGCATTTTACTAATGTGGCAAATTAGAATACTATATTTGTTCAGTATATTCACTCTTAACGTTTAAATATTTATTAACAATTTTAATTTAGCATTAGATCGCACAACAAACAAACTCCGTGGCCTGTAGTCCCCAAGCAAACTATACCGACCGAGCTACCGCCGCTTGTCGGCGAAGTTAGTGCCAACTTTAGCGGATAGAGGGTACCACGTGATCAGCGCAACAGATCGGTTTTTCAGACCGGAGCCGCTACTTCCTTGAAATAGCTCCTCAATTATCCTCACAAGGCTGAGTGGACCCCGTTCCAGACCCACTACTTTTCAAAAAAATTGGTAGCGCCGAGAATCGAACCCGCGACCTCTGGATCTGTAACCAGGAACTCAGACCACTAGACCACACACGCGGTCTTAGATGGCACTGGGTAAAATTAGGTTAAGGTAGAACAGATCACATGAGCTAAAGGCTAAATCAGGTTAGGTTGAACTGCAGCAATTTGGTGTAAGATGTGGTGCACCAGAGCTTAAATAATTTCATAAAAATCTCAGGACCATAGTCTCCCTACGCACAATAAATTTTGTGTGAACGTCTGTAGCAACCATATAGCCTATTGCTGGATTAGCACAAGTAATTTTTTTTTCTATTAGCTGGATCTTACAAAATTTAACTATGCCGTATGAACTGCACAGTTTATTTGATATCGAATAAGATGGGAGGATGAATACGTACTACAAACTGGTAATTATTGTCGCGTTTGATTTTCAAGAAATCGTTTCGAACTATCCTATTCGTAGTCGTACAAACATATCTAGATAAAATGTGAGTGCGGAACTACATTATATACAACTTTCTTTCGTCATGTTTTGAATAATATAAAACATGAAAATTTCAATAATTCCTTAATGCTGTTGAAAATAAATGGCGATAAAAACTAGATAATTAATATTTATTATGCTTAATCGTTTCATTTGTGTGGGAGCATTTCTTATGAGAAGCAGCCTTCAACATCTGTCATTCTTCATGATTCAAAAACGGATCATGACTTCTCTTCATTCTAAAGGCCAAGAGAATCTTGACTTGCCAAAATAAATTGTTCTAAAATGTAAGAAAGAATTGGTGTATTATTAATCACAAGTTTTCAGCATTGCTATTCTAAGAAAACGAAGGAAAGGTGTCGGATATCTGTTACCACGCAACAAAATTATCGACTTTATTTAAAGCAACCTCATGAGTTTTAGGAGGCTATTTTTTTTTCAGTGCTTGCTTCGGTAAAGTATTTGTACTTTCAAAGACTTAATATTCATATAACTCCGTGGTCTTAGTCCGCAAGCGAACAATACCGACCGAGCGACCGCCGCTTTTCGGCTAATTTAGTGCCAAAATTTGCGGATAGAGGGTGCCGCGTAGTCAGTGCAAAGGATCCCTACGACCGTTAATATCGGTTTTCTAGACCGGAGCCGCTATTTCCTTGAAATAGCTCCTCAATTATCATCTCGAGGCTGAGTGGACCGCGTTCCAGACCCACTACTTCTCAGAAAATCTGTTAGCGTCGGGAATCGAAACCGGGTCACCTTGATCTGTAGCCAGGAACTCTCCTACTAGACCACAGAGGCGGTCAGACCTAATATTAATAAAGTAAGTAAAGTAAAGCTATCCCTGTACCAGGCCGTGAAGGCCCATAGGGTTGTGAGACGTTGAGGGTACCACATTTTCTAGACCAGGCATGTCAAACTCAACTTGTACAGAAGGCCACCTCAGCCCTATAAATAATATTCCAGGGCCGCACTCAAAATAGAACTATACCTTAGATTTTGATACAAGGAAATTTAATTCTATTTATTATTTAGGAATAATTTCAATATAATTACCTAAAGTCACATATCCTACAGTTCTAAAAAGCAAGAGAATGCCATTTTTGACAAGTATCAAACAGCTTTTCAAAATTTAAAAAGAGAGATTACACAAGAAGTTATGTTAGAAATAGCAAAACATTGAATTTCCTGCATCCTGCTAATTTATGCCTGCGTGAGACTTCTTGTCTCCTGGTCTGTTGGAAAATTGTCTTTACAAAAATATTTCTACTAAAATTTTAATATTGATTTGAATATCAATTAGCTCTAAAAGTTGAGGGGCCCCACTTTGTGGCTATGGGGGCCGCATGTTTGACACGGCTGATCTAGACAATCGGCTTAAAGATGGCGGTAAGGTTGTCAGCCTTACGCGCCGGCCGCGCTTTCCTCCCCAGGAAAATTACTTAATTAATTCCTGGTACTCATTTCTGTTAGAGGCTGAGTCAACCTCAGGGCCATAGTGCGGCTGGAAGGGTTAGGTAAGTTGAAAAAATCCAATGACTTCATCGGGGCTTGAACCCGCGACCTTCCGGCCCCTCAACCAACTACGTTACCGCGTGCCCCAATAGTATAATTAAATTATTATTATACTATAAAATTAATGGATTTAATTCATGAAATCACATTTTCCTTGTCCATCATTGATAGTTTACTGGTGCCATAATTCGCTCTGGTCAGATCTCAACTTGAGTATTCTTCCGTTGCTTGGAGCTCTGTTACAATTGCTGACTTCAGTAAACTTGAGCACGTACTAAGGAAGTTTGCAGCTCGTTGTCACAATACATTTTTTCAAGATATCCAGCACCAACATGATTGGAAATTTTTGGAAATTTTTAAATTAAATTTACTGACACTATTTATCAAGTATCACACTCTGATGCTTCTTTTTTAATAAATGTTTATAATTGCACTAAATGTTGCCCCTCTCTCTTCGAAATAATCGGTATTCCTATTTCTTCTTGGAACACAGGCCTATGTTACGTTTCAATGTCGAATTTCTCCTCCAGCCATTGTCCTTGAGCTAGATGTGCTTCCGCTGCTAATGCAGTTTTACATCGGGAGATATTTTTAGAAACTGGAGTTTAAATTTAAATAACCTTAACTCATTCAATTTGTCTTTGTTTTGTCGCTGTGACATTGTGTTCTTGTTTGTATTCGTACTGACTCTGTAACTAGACACCGGCAGTTGAGCTCAGCACGTAAATAAACAAATAAAGGAATTACTAAATAAACTCAATTATTATCATTACATCACGAAATCAATTTATCCGTACATATCTGATTTCCGGAGGACAGTGATTTTCGAGTTAATTTCATTACTCGGTAGCGTAGTTGATTGAGGCACTATGCTACAAACCGGAAGTTCGCGTGTTTGATTCCCGATGAGGTCATTGGTTTTTTGTTGCGTTTTTTTTTTATTTACCTGTTCTTACAGCCACAATGTGGCCCTGGGGTCGGCTCGGCCTCTAACAGAAATGAGTACCAGGAATGTTCCTGGGGGGTAAAGGGCGGCTGGCGCATAAGGCTGACAGCCTTACCGCCATCTGTGAGCCGATTGTCCAGAAGATGTGGGAGCCTCGACGTCTCACAACCCTATGGGCTTTCATGGCCTGTTACAGCGATAGCTTTATCTTTTTTGTCATTAAAATAATTCGAATTTTTTAAACAGAAATTATTGTCGGATTTCAGTATACAGTGAACCTTCTCCGTGCGGGCCACATATAGTTCCACTTAGATGCTGTCATCTTAAGCGCGTAACCAACAAACAGAAAACGCTGTTAACATTTCCCACCATTGTATATAATCACTATACACATAGTTATTGGCCTGGTGAAACATTGGAAACATTTCAGGAAGAGAATTTACATATATACTTTCTGTTTCAAGCAATTTGTCTCCATTTTTCTGCTTCAGTTCTCCTCCAGGTCGAATCATATTCTTTTTCATGCTAACTTTTCCAACTTCGCCACATCAAACATGTAATTGTATACTTAATAACACTTGTTTCCATCCAGTCCAAAACTTCTTCGTATGCTCAATGTGCAGCTCATATAACTTATTCTGCCTTTAGCCTCTCACACGACATTAATTAACGTAGGCCAACATAAAGTTCCTACTGCACGCACTGGGTGTACACTGTTGTAGAAAGGATCACGTGATACAATAGCATACAGAGGAGAAACTGTGACTATGCTTGTTCTGTAAAATTACAAAATTCTTTCCTTTACAGAGACTACTAAGGACTACTGATCGCAAACCAAGGCTGAAGCCAAATATCCAAAGGAAATTACATATTTTCCTCTCATGCCATTAACAATTAAGCCGCAGTTGGCTGTGACCACTATATCTCTGTCTGGTGAATCGGAAAGGAGGAGGATATTGGCCTTGAAGCAGGTGCATGCAAAGGACGAAAATGTGGAGGTTACATTTAGTCTTGTGGCAAACATATGAATGTATATACACAAAACCTTCCAAGAAAGTGGACAAGTTACAGGATAAACAGCTGGCCAATTTAAAGTGTGATGACCATGTGCATATTAGTACGATTTCATCGGTTCCGCAAAAATGTCGCCAGCTATGGCAGACAATGAATTTACAGGTGTGGCCAGCTTCATAAGTTTCATTATTAGGGCCTGAGATCCAATTAGAAATCTTAGATCATATTTACCCCAACCCTCTTCGAAATATGTTTGCTGTATCCCAAAGAATAATTATAGTGCATATTAAAGTCTCGTTTCTAGTGCAACACTCCTGGCGGCTATGGCCATGAAGGAGGACATGTACCAATGTTTAGGTATGAATCACGTGGTAGCAGGGTATTTACACCTGTGTATATATAACAGCCGTGGATGGCTACTTTTCAGTGTCATTCAATAATTTTCCTTCAGCAGCGGTAGAAAAGCTTATACAAAAGGAACTGTTAAAAGGGGAACAAGGAAAACTGTGCCACTTAAAAATCTTTCATAATGATGGCCGTAGATCTAAAAAGTTCCAATTTTATAAGCCAAGTCCTATTTTAAATGTCTATATAGATTTATATCGTAAATACGGCTTAAGACTCTAACTTATGTTTGCGAGTAAAATTTATAACAACATAAGTTATATTTTTAATTTAGTAATTTCACGATTGAAAGGAAGCAATCATAACGGTCATAATTTGTGTAGCTAACGGTGTTTTTATAAGATCACTTTATTGAGTTTTTATTTTAAAAGCTGGTTGGTATTTTAAACTGCTGGCTGTGGGTTACGTGATTTGTACTCGTTTAAATTCATGTAAAATACAATGCAATTTTCAGCACTCGTGTTTGTCGTATACCTCAACAGCCTCTTATTGGTAGGGCGTAAGGCTGCGTTCTCCGTAAACAACATACCTTCAGCCTACCGCGGGACTACTCACTGCACTGGGACAGTCCCTACGGATATCTACTTGTCCACGGTGAGTATACAATATTACGCGCTCGCTGGTAGTTAGTGTTGTGAATGTGCTTGAGGGACGGGAGGATGGCCAAATGAGCATGCGCACAGTGTCATTATACACTATTCCTGCCTCAAAGACACAGACCCGATTCAAGTGATTGAAGCCTCTTACGCATTGTGTGTGTGTGTGTGTGTGAAACTAATGAGTTTCTTCACAAGCGGCGCACATTTTACTGCTAAGCAACTATGATGCCCTCACAAAGGAACAGTTCACATAATTTAGGTCTGATTTCGTGCAACTACGGTGCAGGTTAGTAGACTGATGTTTTCATGATAGAACGAAGTGTGAAGTTCTGCACACACCGCTGATCTATCTCTGGCGACCACTCGTGACGCGCCAATAAAATTCGTACCGCTCGTACCTTCTGCTTGATACTTCTAATTTAACAGTGAAAGAAAATGTGTTGCAGGGTTACGTGTAGCTAGGAGCAGCTTGTAATTTGTAAGGAGAACCGTGTGATTCTTTCTTACTCCTTGGCTGTAAGGTCTTATACTTCGCCTTCTTTACGACAGTGTCGGTTCTATATTATTTACCTTCTGCCTCCAGCTCCTTCATATTCATCTCTTGAAAATAATTATTTCTGTAGTCGTGTCAGAAATTATCGATCGTAATGTTTGGTACCATACAAGGTAATTTTGATATGCGAGCGCGTAGCGCATTCCCTGCGCAGTTTAATTTCGTTGTATTATACCAGTAAAGTGACCAGTGACTTTGATTGATTAAGTGATATTATTAACTTCTATCAATTTCAGCACAATGAAACTGTTTTTGTAGGTATTTTACGGCGTTGCCGGTAGTTGGGCAATATAGCATCAGATGGTATGATGACAGATAAATGATGAATGGGAAAGGATTTAGAAATAAACAATCATGATCTAATCGAGGCACTAGCCTGACATGAACCCGGAGTGTTTGAGGAAAATCACGAAAACTTCAGTCAGTATAACAAGTGCCACAACCAATATTTGAAACCGAAGCACCTCTCAAGTTCAAAACGCTACATCAACCCTTTGGTGAAATAGTTTTTGATAGCGTGTATTTTTACACAGTACGTGGAACGTAAGAAGTCTGTATAGGGCAGGTTCCCTCATGACAGTGGCAGAAGAAATATCAAAATATAAGTTAGATTTAGTGGGAATACAGGAGGTCAGATGGGACAGAGGTGGCACCGAACCAGCAGGTGAATATACATTTTTCTCTTGAAGGGGAATGAGAATCATGAATTAGGTACAGGTTCCTTTGTACACAAGAGTATCATATGGGCAGTTAAGAAGGTGGAGTTTGTAAGTCATGGGATGTCCCACATAATTTGCACTACGCTTGTTTGGATTTTCACTATGTGTACCTTGCTTATTGTATGTACTTTGTTTTGTATTGTTCCCTTATATTATAGTCTTTCCTTGTCTGTATCAGTGTAAGATCTACTGCCACCAGGTGAATACCCAATTGCAGTTAAATAATAATAATAATAATAATACGTACTAAGAGGTCGCTTGTGTGATATCATTGTTCTGAATGTTCATGCCTCAACAAATGATAAAATTGATGATATGAAGGACAGGTTCTATGGAGAACTGGAACGTGTATTCGATAAATTTCCTCAATAACATATGAAACTTCTGTTGGGAATTTTCAACGTCAATTTAGGTTGGGAAGCCTTTTTCAAACCACGGATGGGAATGAAATTTTACATGAAATTAATAATGATAATGGAGTTAGAGCAGTAAACCTTGCTGCATCCAAAAATCTGATTGTCATAGGTACAACATTCCGACATCGTAACATTCATAAATTTACTTGGACATCTCTTGATCGAAAGATGCACAATGAAATTGACCATATTTGATAGATAGGAGACGACATTCAAATATACTTCATGTTCGATCATTCAAGGGAGCACATGGTGATTCTGACCACTATCTAGTGGTGGTGAAAGTTAGGAAGAAACTGTCAGGGAGTAAACACACATCGCATGGAGTTCATATGGAGAGGTTAAATCCAAAGAAATTAAACATTGTATAGGGTAAAGGGCAGTATCATGTTGAAATATCAGATAGTTTTGCAGCTTTGGAAAACTTAGACACTTTGGCAGATATTAACAGAGCTTGGGATACTTTTAGAGATAATATCAAAATTTCAACCAAAGAGAATGTAGGTTACCATGAATTAAAGAACCATAAGCCATTGTTTGACAAGGGATGCTCAAAATTATTAGACCAAAGGAAACTAGCCAATTTGCAATTCTTACAGGATCCAAGTGGAATAAATATGGTTAGTCCAAACAATATAGGGGACACGTGGTAGTGTATTTGGTTGAGGCACTATGCTACAAGCTGGAAGATCACGGGTTAAAGTCCCGATGAGGTCATTGGATTTTTCAATTGACCTAATCTTTCCAGCCGCACTATGGCCCTGGGGTCGACTCAGCCTCTAACAGAAATGAGTACCAGGAATTAATTAAATAATTTTCCTGGGGAGTAAAGCACAGCTGGCGCATAAGGCTGACAACCTTACCACCATCTTTGAGCCAATTGTCTAGATAATGTGGGACCCTCAACGTCTCACAACCCTATGGGCCTTCACGGCCTGTTACAGGGATAGCTTAAGTTTTTTTTTTTAAGTCCAAACAATATAAGACATGAAGCCAGCAGGTATTTCAGAAATAAAATGAAGGAAAATCTGAAAGACAAAATTAATGAGCTTGCAAAGACAACACTAAGAACAAGAACATTAGAGACCGCTATAGAATAAAAAATGAATTTAAGAGGGGTTACCAGCCTAGCAGTAACTTGGTGAAGGATGAGAATGGTGATCTGCTTGCAGATTCACACAACATTTTGAATACATGGAAGAACTACATTCAGTTATTGAATGTACTCGTACATGTGGTCAGTAATGTTATGCAGATAGAAATACATACAGCTTAGCCATTAGTACCTGATCCCAGTCCTTTTGAGGTTGAAACTGCTATTGCAAAATTGAAACACCAGAAATCACCAGGCAATAATCAAATTCCAGCAGAACCAATTTAAGCAGGACATGAAATATTGTGGTCTGAGGTACATATACTCTACACTGCAACATCTCATTATATCTATTCTCCCTTCCTGGTGCAGCTTCTTGGTATCTGCAATCTCTCCAGGGTAGGCCATTCAGTTACATCTGGTGATAACACTGGTATAATGTTTCACTGCAGAGCCTACACTGCAACATCTCACTGCATCTGTTCTCCATTCCTGGTGCAGCTTCTTGGTATCTGCAATCTCTCCAGGGTAGGCCATTCAGTTACATCTGGTGATAACACTGGTATAATGTTTCACTGCAGAGCCTACACTGCAACATCTCACTACATCTGTTCCCCATTCCTTGTGCAGCTTCTTGGTATCTGCAATCTCTCCAGGGTAGCCCATTCAGTTACATCTGGTGATAGCACTGGTATAACGTTCCACTGTAGACTCTACACTGCAACATCTCACTACATCTGTTCTCCATTCCTGGTGCAGCTTCTTGGTATCTGCAATCTCTCCTGAGTAGCCCCTTCAGGTGCATCTCTGACTGTGTTATCTTGGTTGCTGGAAGAAAGAAAGGAAAACTGCGCAGTAGGGATTTCCAAAACCGATTATTAATGAATTATGTGATTATAATTGATTAGTGTTTGTCTCACACGAGAGAAACTCATACACTTTATAAAAACAATGATCGAGTAGGTAAGTTTTCAGAGCGTTTTTGAACTTATATAGTACCGGTATTTCTTTAATATATCGTGGCAGATGATTTAGCAGTCAAAGTCCTACATTGTTAAAGTTATTCTTGCATAGACTTGTATTACATGGGACGATGTGCAAGTCATCTTTTTTCCTTGTGTTGTATGAGTGTAATCCTGAGTTGGTTGTGAAATCATTCAAATTGGATTTTATGTATATTAGAGTTTCGTATATGTACAAAGATGGTAGAGGTAATATATGTAATGATTTGAAAATTTATTTACAACTAGTCGTTTTTGGGGCCTGGGTCATAGCTCTTCTAGCTCTCTTCTGTAATTTAAAGATCAATTTTGCATTTACCGAGTTGCCCCAAAATATCAGTCCGTAACAAAGATTGGAAATGAGCATAATATGACGTGCGGACGGTCTCTAGTCCAGTTACTCTTCTAACTACCCTTAGGCCAAAACGTACTTTACATAAGTTGTTTGCTAGCTTTTGTGTATGAATAGTCCATCTTAGATGCTTATCTAGCCAGACTCCCAGAAATTTTGAGTGATCTGTGTAGTTGATAACAGTGTCATAAATCTTTATTGGAGGGCATTCAAGTTGTAGTTTTTGAGGATGATGGAAGGCTATTGCTATTGTTTTCTCTTTATTAACAGTCAATCGATTCCTCTCAAACCACTCTGTGATTTTGTTTATTGTTTCGTTTGTTTTCCTTTGAATTTCCTTAGCGCTATTTCCTGCTATAAAAATGCTAGTATCATCGGCAAAGAACATAGGTTTCCCATGTTCTATGCTGGTCTCCAGGTCATTTATGTATAACAGAAACAACACTGGTCCCAGAACAGAACCTTGTGGGACACCATAGCTGATGGGTCTCTTTCTGGATAGGTAATTAATGTTACGATTATTTTTTTTGCATCTGTATGTAATTTCTACCACTTGTTCTCTGTTTTCTAAGTATGTTTGGAACCACCTTAGTGTAACCCCCATATTACCATTCTTTCCATCTTACTTAGCAATATATCATGATCTACTAGGTCGAACACTTTTGATAAATCCAAAAATATCCCTATACTCATTTCTTTTTCATCTAGTGCTTTGTAAACACTTTTTGTAAATTCTGTGATTGCTGTATGTGTTGATTTTCCTTTGCAGAATCCATGCTGTTTATTGCTGATTATGTTGTACTTATTTATGAATGATAAAAGTCTACTGTGCATAATTTTTTTGATTATTTTAGAAAAAAC